GATCGAAAACTATTATGATGTTATTTTTCGCAAACTGCTCCTGAGTTTCTTTCTATTTATTTTACCACATAAAAAATCAATTTCACTCCTATGGTTTCATTTTACTATCTGGGACACTCACATTTTAATAAATGTATAATATGCCATATTTAATGAAAAATAAAGATATGTGTAAAATATTTTTTCTTACTATCATTTTAATTTAAAATTTAATTAAAATATATAATCCAGAATTAATAATATGCTATACTTAAATAGTTAAATATGACTAATTATATGTAAATAATCAAGTTACTTATTTTAATTAAATATAAATAATTAATAATTAGTACATAAATAATGGGCATTGTTTAATAATTATAATTTTCAAGTAAATAATTGACTTTATGCAACGTAGTGATAACCATAACTCACTCTTGACCTTGCATTACCCCATCTACCCCAAAAACGATTGGTCGTATGAAGAAAAAGTTTAAACAAAAGTTGTAGAGAATTTTATAGCCTATAACTTTTATAATAGGTGCAAATCTCATTTAGGCAATGGGAAGCCAGATATTCGCGAAAAACCGATTTTTGTGACCTTTGACCTTGAATATCTTAAGACACGCACACGATGGCGTTTGTGACTTTTGAGACAACATTTAGAATGACAAAACAAAGGGTTATACCAATTTATAGCTTATTATCTTTCATTCCGAGGTGAAACCCCTAATATGACTGGGCTACTGGTCTATTTTATCAAAGAATATTTTTATATCTCCGGAGGGTGGCCTGTACACTGCAACCACTATCACGTCCACTGTTTCAAGACGGATCAGGAAAAAAAGATCTACGACTAATGCTAATAACATATAGGACGTTCCATAAAAAAGAGATGGCGCTGTCATTTTGACAGCATGCGTTCGTCGTTTGTTTTTTTTTTCTATCTTTCAAAATTAACCCCGTAGCTGAGTCAAAATATAATGAATAATATAAATAAGTTCAGGGTATGCACGTAAAAACTGCAACGTGCCGGTATGTCCAGAATGCATGAGAATTGAGTTCCGCAAATGGTCGCTTTTTGTAATTAAAAATAAAATAGGATGCTTTAAATGTTGATATGAATTTTTCAACCCGTTAAAGAGGTTTTAAGTGCGTCAACGTCGTCGACTCGAAATCGGCTTTTAATAAGCAGCGTCGGGTAGTTATTACCTAAACCATCGGGCGAAAAAAAGCGTAAAATTTCCAACGACAAACGCGGCGAAACGAACGGAAAAAAAAACGTTGGTAATTTCGAAATTTTCGTAAGCCGCGGGTGTCGCAAGCCCGCGCGCGCCCGCTGGACCGTCCAATCCAGCGGCGCCCGTCGAAAATTCAAACGAGAAACGGCGGAAAACGCTGGCCGATCGTCGCTCCGCGCGCCACTGTCGCGTCTGTTCTTTTCACCTATGAATGGCGTCGATTTTTTTGCGGTTTTTTCGGGAAAAATTTTTCTCGCCTCGTCTCACGAGACCGCCGCCAGTACTGTCGCGCCGCCGCCACCATCGAGACGTGAATTTTCGCGATCGCGACGACTTGATGTTGAAATTTGACGAGTTTTCCGGAAATCTAGGTGAGTTGGCAACGCCGCGTTCACCCGAAAACAGTTTTTCGTTACTTTTGTTAAACAACAACGCAGCGCGGTCGTATAACGAAGCCGGTTGCCCCATGGGGAACTTAAAACCTAAAAATCGCATTACAGAAAGCTCCGCAATTTTCAAAAAACGGAATCTAGAATTTTTACGACAATATGTTGACGTTTGTCAATTCTGACAGTCATGTCAATGAATGTATTCTTGTTGTTTTGTGAAAATGTACCCAAAAACTCAGGGTCGTAGAAAAAGTATAGGATGCAACAAGTTCGGTAAGAGTATATTATGCAATAAGTGCGGTAAACGGCATTTGACTCGCGAGTTTTTAATAAACGAGTGAGTTAAAAAGTTTACTATACTTTTTCTATGACCGTTATTTTTTGTGTACAAACGTCAAAATTCAAAGCATTGGAAATATCTCCGAAAACATCCTACTGGTAAAATCCCGGAAATGTCCGAAGTGGCTCGGATTCATGGGAAACGAAACTGACGTGGTAAAGTGACGCTTGCGTAGAAAAACCTTTTTAGTCACTGGTTTATTAAACACTCGCTCCGCTCGTGTCAAATAAGCTCGTGAGTCAAATTCCGTTTAGCGCACTTGTTGCATAATATATTACTATACTACTATACTAATACTATCTAGCGTGCGGGAAGCATCACTTTACCGTGTCAGTCCCGTTTGTCAAATCTGACTATCATGTCAGTGAATGTATTCGTGTTGTTAATGCACAGAAAATTATTATGCAACACATGACAATTTAAGTACTGCTATAAGCGACAATTAAAATCTAGTGGCCTACTCGGTAATGAAAATGACTTTTATAATTTAAGTTTCCCACGGAAATTTTACATACCGTTCGCTTGAACTCTAGTGGTTTTTACAGTTTTCATATTAATATCTTGTCAAGACCAATTGTACGATTTTCAAATATCCATGCCTCATCGGTACAAACAAAACAAAATTGAAGGTTAGGACCTGCTTTTTCTTGGATCTTAAAAATTTAATACCCTTGAAAGCTCTATCCTTGATTGATTTTTCTTCCAATTACAGTCCTTTTCTTTAAATAATCTACTTAATGATCAATTGTAAAAGTTAAATAAACAACATTACGTTTTAAAATTTAGTTTATTTCATTTCAATAATACATCCATCTCTGTCGGTTTTTGTTTAGTCGAACTGGCCAATCATCCGGTTGGCTTCTTCGAAGCTTGACTGAAACTGGATTTTCGGGCCAAACGTTCAGACTTTGCAATTTTAAATATAGGAGGTTTTGATTTTTTAAGGACTTTTGAGGTTTCAAATCGAATTTCATGAGCTGCTTGAGATGTCCATTTGTTTAGGATAAACTCGACATTTGAAATGATTCACTCTTTTGGGATAATACTTGGGGCAAGGACGGAGTTGGAACCTTTTGCGTTTCTGCAAGTTGGTGCGATGATACATTTATCACAGTGTTTGGTAGTTGAGAAGAGTTTGGTTGTGTTTCAAATTTATGAATGTGATTTTGGGCAGATGATATGATCATGTTTAAAAGGGCATCGAACTCGGATGGGGACGAAATGGAACTAATTTCAAAATGTAGACACATAAGAGTCTTATTGATTTGGTCTATTTCGTTACGGTTAAGAACGGTTATGAACAATTTTATAAGCTGCTTTTGGTCCCTACAACGTAACAGTGTGAGTCAAGCTCAGAAGAAGCCAACAAGATGATTGGCCAAATCCAGGAGTTTATTTCACTGATTACATCAACTAATTTTATTTTTAAATTAATTGAAATTTCTTATATTACCGAAATCATGTCAGAAATAAAATCTGACTGGCGACGGTAAAGCTATGTATGCCAGCGACAGATGAATTCCAAGAAGACCGATCCGCTCGTATTTAGACTCTTGGAGTCGATAATCTTTGTTGCCCATTTTGTTCAAAATTCTGGAAAAAGATAAATGAATCTGCTGTTACACTTGTGTGACGAAATCTTGAGAGCAAGTGACTAGTCTATGGCGACAACTTTGGTTCTACTAGATTTCACAAAAGCCTCCGATCTGTTGTTGCAGTCGCACCTATATTACCTGAGGCTCTCGTTATCTACAGATATTGGCATCTTTAGGAGAAGATTAAAACAGTTTTAATCTTCCCCTGAAGATGCCAGCTTTCTTATCGTTGTAGTAGGCTGTGTCTTTAAGAATTATTAATTCCGTTGTGTCGTGTCTGACAGTTGTTTGACATCGCGCGTCTCATTCATTTGGTGTTTGTGAATGGTCTAGTTTACTAATGAGGAGTTGGCAGATATGCATTTTATGTGTGATTTGGCTAATGGCAGCGCGCCGGAAGCTACGTGATTATATCAAGAGCGCTATGCTAATGCAGTGATATCAGATAGATGAACATTTTCAGATAAACATAGAAGGTGGACTGAAATAGGTACTTTGAGGACAATTTTAATTCTATTGATGAAAATCCAATTACTACAAAAATTGGAAATAATCTGTATATCTCGCACGACTTGGTTTGCAAAATTTTGCCTGTTAATTTTTGTCAATGGTTTTGGAACAAAATTTTGCGTTATCCCTTCTTTGACCAATAAATACTATTTACCTATGAAGCCAACTTTTCCAGGAATGCATTAAGACATTTCCACAATAACCATATTTGGGCCGATAAGTAATTAAAGAACAGTTTTGGGTAAACGTTTTGGCTGGAGTCGTTGGAAATTACTTAATTGGGCCCTTTTTCCTGCCAAAAAGGCTAAATGATGAAATGGATTTGCCAATATTGCTAGAAGTACCATTTTTAGTTATTAAAAGCATGTGGTTCATGCGTAACAGCGAGCCTGCTCACTTTAGTATCGCAGTAAGAGAGTTAGGTCGCGGCGGACCTCAACCATGGCACCAAGATCCCCAGAATTAAATAATTTGGACTGTTTTTTATGGGGCATATTAAATGTCTGATTTATAATACTGTAGAAGATCTGAGGGATCGTATAAGAGCTTAATGCGATTTAATAAGAAACACAATTCGCAATATGAGGAAAAAAGTTGAAGCTTGTATCCCTCAAGATGGAGGATACATTCCACAACTTATCTAGTTTCTTTGTTGTATTTTTTTATGAGCAGAATTGATCTCTGATTTTTTTTTAGTTCACCGCATATTAACGATATTGTCATGACTCTGAAAAAAATCAAGAAATAAATAGACACCACTGTGATTCATTAAAATTTTTAAAGTTACAGATATTAAAAAAATATATTTTGTTTTTGAAAATTTTACCAGCCTTTATATATATTCGCCCCCTTAATAGAGCTTGCACTGTATTTTTAATGTGGGATCAACATTGAAATTTTAAACGGAAAACCTGGTATATTATGGCATTTTCAATGAACGTTCCAGGAAAATCCAGCACGTCACCCTAATATGAATGATAGCAGCGCCGACGACACCAACAAGTTCGCGCATCCCAAGACCAAAGCCAACCCCATATCGAACCTATTTTTCTGCTGGGGCCTGCCGATACTCTACAGGGGATGGGTAAAAGAGTTCGACGAAGAAGACCTCTACGACCCGCTAGCCGACCATCGGTCGCACAAGTTGGGCGACAAGCTCGAAGAAGAATGGAAACTGGAAAAGATGCGTAACTCGGAACCTGCCCTCTTGCGCGCCATGTGGCGCATGTTTTGGAAAGAGATTTTGGGATATGGGATGGTGCTTTTCGCTCAGGAGTTCATCTTGGGGTGGGTTCATGCTCGAGACCGCTCCCAGATCCTCTTCAAAACCACTCAATTTCCAGGTTGGCTCAACCGTTAGCTCTGAGGAAGCTCATGAACTATTACGCGCCCAATCAGACATCGGTGAGCCTCCAAGAGGCTTATTTGTACGCAGGCGTTCTTATACTAGCGTCGTTCCTTTTCATCGTCGTCAACCACAACTACATGTTCGGCTGTCACCATTTGGGGATGAAGATTCGGGTGGCATGTTGCTCGCTGATGTACAGGAAAACGCTGAAGCTGAGCAGGATAGCGCTGTGCGAGACAACGGTTGGTCAGATGATCAATCTGCTGTCCAATGACGTTGCCAGGTTCGACAGCTGCGTCAGGTACTTGCATTACCTCTGGGTGGCACCTCTGCAGACGTTGGTGATCATGTACCTGCTGTACGATATTGCCGGCCTCACGTCGCTGTCGGGCTTCTGTTTACTGCTGGTTTTTATCCCTTTGCAAAGTAAGTGAGCAAGAGTTGCGTTAAAAAGAAGTTGAAATCCCGCATAGGCGCAAAATATAGGTAAAAAATGGATTTTATCGATAAATTATCGATTTTCTTGAAAACATCACATTGAATTCGAACTTTTGATTTCTGGAAATCCTTTTGTACAAAAGTTTCCACTTTTAAGGACCTGACAGAAATTGTCCTCCTGATCTACTATCATCGTGACAAATTTAAGCAGATCGAAAATTTTCATGGTGAGTTTTTATAAAAAATTGTTTTCATTTTTTGCTCCGGGAAATTTTTAGAAAATTCACTATGAAAACTATCGATCGAGGTGAAATTTGTCAAGATAATAGTATCCGTTCCTAAATTGGAAATTTTCTAATCTATGCTAGGGGCAAAATATAGAGATAAAATTGTAGACAAGTTATCGATGTGGATACAATCGACTTTTCAATGGTATCCTACAGAGGTGGGACTGAAGTATATAATATATATATTTCAACATTTTACGGTAAGCTAGATACAAAACTTCAAAAACTAGACATTTAATTTTGAGCTGGATTTTCAGCCCCAAATGGGATTTCGAGGTAATTTCTTAAAAGCGAAAACTTTTTTTAAAATTTTTTAAAAATCGGTTTACTATGGATAGTTTGACGATAAAACCAATGTTCACCTATAATTTTACCCTGTTTTTTGATATATTTTTTAAACCCACGGTGTTCTCAGAAAGTTGAAATTTATACTAATGGGCATATCCCCAAATACCTCAAAGTTTCTCATACTTCCTCAAAATTGTCGCTAAAATGAACATAATTATAATTAGTCTCACAAGGCAACGCAACACCTCAAACATCTCAGACTTAAACCTCAACTTTCACTACTTATCTTTTGTCTTATAATAAGATTGCCTAGCCCTAAACGAAAAGTCCAAAAGTCTCCGGTTTGGTCTTTTCTTGCGGTTTTTTTTATATGTCAATTACTACTTGCTATTTTTTTGTTTCCTGACTTTGGCAACAACAGAATTTTATCCAAATTTTCTGGCGATATTTTGAAAACCAGGTTTTGTTTTGTTTGTTTATTCAACCAAGTCTTATCCCACCATCTTCTTTCTATTTTCTGTGGGGTATAAACGTTTGAACTAAAACCTGACAATTACAACTGACTATTAACAATAATCACTATTGCAAAACAACATTTCACTCAAACGTATATATAATACTGGAATAAAAGATATGGCTGACAGTAAAGGAAACAATTTCAAATTATCTCCAAATATACAGGGTAATTCATAAACATGTAAGTGTATTTTGCATTTTAAGTCACTCTGTATAAACAATTCAAACTAACTTCAAGGTAAGCATATGACAAACAACTATAGTACCTTTCAAAATTACAGCTATAAAAAACGAAGAAAATAAAAGGGAGTGCAATAGTAAAAATAGTATATCCATTACTTTTGTACTTATCTTTGTTTTTTTTTTTTCAAAAAACAAATAATGAATGAGATAAATTACTATTTGGACGACCTGTATAAAAAATACATCAATTTGCATAATTTCGGCTAGGTAATAATATCCATCCAACATAATAAAATGTTCATGTTAAATGCATAAAATCAATTGATATATTTTTTAAAATTTTTGAATGTTGTTACATCAAAACTGTGTCAAGCCGTTGTTTTGGGTGATAAATCTCAAGCCGATGTTTTAAAATGACGCCAAAAGCCTTTGTTGTGAAGTTTATTTATAACAATAAATGCGTTTAAAATATCAGCCTCCGTTGAAGAGTTAATATTTGCTTGGATTCCGCCTTCATTGTGCGGTACACAAGGTGACTAATAAAATACAATTTTCGAATGTTCTTTTCAGAATTTATAAATCCCGCGTATGAATTAATTCCCGACCTAAACTGTAACATATAACACTATGACTATAACACCGTTTGTCCATTTTTATCTACGACAAAGTCATCGAATTTACTGTTTTAATATAAGTGAGAAAAAAAGCAAAAAAAAAATGAAGTCTTCGCAGACTTTCGTTATTGTTAAACTCCTGCCTCCTCGCATCGATACACCCAGTATAATTTATAAGTCGATATATCTGTTCTAGTGATTCTGGGAAAGCTCGCTTCCATATTCCGTCTGCGCACTGCGATAAGGACAGACGAGAGAGTGCGCATCATGAGCGAGATCATCGTCGGCATCCAAGTCATCAAGATGTTCAATTGGGAGAAATCTTTCTCGTCGATCATCGAGAAAATCCGGAAGTGAGTCTCAAAACCACTCTCAATATCACCAGGAACGTACATTCTAAAGATATACAGTGGACATGTCCATCAAAAATGACAAATCAAAATTCGACACCCTGTAGGTCAACTAACCAACAATATATAACCTCATTCTTTTGAGACCACGCCCACCAGGTCTCTAGTTCCCTTTAAACTATCTGAAACCTCAAACGGGTTCCAGGCTAGAAATAAAACAAATCCGTCTGGCGTCAGTGATCAGGGCGCTGCACGTATCCTTCAGCAAATTCATCACCAGGACGTCGGTGTTCCTCTGCATACTGGCCTACACCCTGCTGGGTAACCGTCCAAACGCCGAATACGTCTACGTCATCTCGTCGTTCTACAGCATCATCAAGACGACCATGACTAGTAACTTCCCCCAGGCCGTTTCCGACCTCGCCGAGGTCCTGGTGTCGATCAAACGGATCGAGACCTACCTGTTGTTCCACGAGATCAAGTCCAAGTCCGCGACCAAACAGTCCCAGAAGAAAATCATGCACACCTCGACGCCCCTGATCAACGCGGCGAGCAAAAAGTCCATCGGGGTCTACCTGCACGACCTGTCCGCCAAATGGAACCCTTACCTAGTCGAGAACACCCTGTCTGAAATCAACCTCAACGTCGGCTCGAAGCAGCTCGCGATCGTAGTCGGAGAGGTGGGATCGGGTAAAACCTCCCTGCTCCACGTCATCATGAAGGAACTGCAAATCACCAAGGGCGTCAAGGACGTGGTCGGCAAGATCTCCTACTGTCCCCAGGAACCGTGGCTGTTCCCGGGCACCATCAAGCAAAACATTTTGTTCGGGGAAAGGTGGGACTCGAAACGCTACGAAGAAGTGTTGAAGGTATGCGCTTTGGAAAGGGACTTTGAGATTCTGCCGTTCGGAGACAGGAGCATTATCGGCGACAGGGGAGTCTGTCTAAGTGGTGGCCAGAGGGCGAGGATCAATTTGGCGAGGGCCGTGTACAAGGAAGCCGACGTTTATCTTCTCGACGACCCTTTGTCCGCCGTCGACACCCTGGTCGGCAAGCAACTTTTCGACGATTGCATAGCAGGTAAAAGATTACCACCCAACACCGTCACTAGATTCGAGGATATTGGTGTAAATTTCAGGCTTCCTCAAGACCAAGTGCATCATCCTCGTCACCCACCAGCTGCAGTACCTCAAATCCGCCACCAAGATCTACGTAATGGACGGGGGTCGTATCGTGGCCAGCGGAACGTACCAGGAGATTCAAAACTCCGAGGACGAGTTCGCCAAGCTCTGTAAGGCCGATCCGGAAGATGCGGAGTGTCGTGGGGGCGGAAATCTGTCGGGTTCGAATTCTTCTTACTGCCCGGTATCGGACGAAGAGCCGACAGAAGTGAAAGAGACCCGGTGCACCGGTTCGATAGCGTCCAGGGTTTACAGGCAATACTTCAAAGCTGGAGGCGGCTGGTGCTACACCGTGCTGGTGTTCGCTTTGTTCGTGCTATCTCAGTTCTCGTCTAGTTCCGCGGACTACTTCATCAAGTTTTGGTAAGCAGCTATTAGTTATTATCTGGCCTCCTTTCATCTGCTAGACTGAACAGGAATGTTTTGAAGTGGATGGTTTTCTGTAGGTTTAATATAGCTGTACCCGCAACCCATGGATATATCCGCAGAAGCCTTAAAGGAGTGACTTTGCTAAATGACATTAGAAATTCTAGTTGGTAAAAAAAAAACAGTTACTAAATCACTCAGCCAGTGGATCTATTGCTGTAATCTTCTTAGTTATAAAGCTTTATCTGGGCCCCTCTCCCTCGGCAGACTTGGCTGCAGGGTTGAGTGGTTTTGAATTAGACGGTTGGATGAGTTCCTGTAGATTTAATATGGTTTGCATCTTTAGAAACTTCCAAAGATTGACTTGGAAGAATGACATTAGACTTCTGGTTTGTTGGTTAGTGAATTTGTGTCAAAGAATACGAATTGCAAGTTAACTCAGTTAGAGGAGCTATAACGTTCATATTGCTGAGTGTTTCCTTTTATATAAAGCTTTATCTGAGTGCCTCTCCCCTGTCAGACTCTTCATGTAGGTCGTAGCGTATAGGTTGTAGGTTTTCATCACGAACAGTATCTTCTACTATAGGGTCAAAAACCCGTCAATGTATCTTTGGAAACCTCGAAAAAAATTATTTGGAAAATAACATTTTGGAATCTGGATGATGAATCTGTGTCAAAGCATGTTCGTTACAAGTTAACTCAGCCAGATAATCTATCGCGACACTCTTCTCAGTTATAAACTTTTATCTGGACTCCTCTCACTTGCAAGACTCGACAGGAGGGTTGATTGGTTTTTAGATGGATGGTGATGTACCTACGAATAGCATCTTCCTTTACCACAAGATCAACAACCTACGGATGTATCTTCAACACAGCCTTCAAAAAATGATTTTGTAGAATAATATGAGAAAGTCTGGTTGATAAATATACGAGCTACCAGTTAACCCACCCACTCTTTTTAGTTATAAAACTTTAACTGCTCTCCTCTCAGATAACAATAAGTGGTTTTCAATTAGACGGTTAGATGGTCTTCCGCAGGTTTAATATGGTTCTCACGTTTAGTAACTTCAAAAGATTGACTTTGGAGAATGGTATTAAAGATTCTGATCGATGAGTTTGTGTCACGTTTCAGTTCAGCGCAAGTGCAAGTGTAGGTTGTACGTTCTCATCACTAATAACATCCTCCATTACAAGATCAATCAACAACCCGTCGTATCCGAAGATTGACTTTGAGATTGATTGATCGAGCTTCTAGTTAATGAGTGGGTGTCAAAGTTATCGGAGTTATCGCGAGACTATTCTTGGTTATAAAACTTTATCTGGTTTCCTCTCTCCTGCTAGACCCAGACGGATGATTGGGTGGTTGAAGTTGTATAACGACGCCGATAACCACGAACAACATCTTTGTGAAATTTCTTTAGATATATTTATTAATCCAGGGTGAATTTGGAGCAGACCAGATACGAGCGTAGCCACAGGAACCACACCACCGTCTATACTTACAAAACCATCGCGGACGAGAGCAGAAGCAGACTGGACTTGTTCTTCACCACCGACATGTGTTTCTACGTCTACTCGTTTATAATCGGCTCGGTGATCGTATTGACCGTCATCAGGTCGGTATCGTTCTTCCAGTTCTGCATGTCCGCGTCAGTGAGGTTGCACAACCGGATGTTCGCGAGGATAGTGAACGCGACGACGAGGTTCTTCAACGTCAACTGCCCAGGCAGGGTACTTAATAGGTTCGCCAAAGATATGGGCTCCATCGACGAGAAGTTGCCCTACGTCCTCATAGACACGATCCAAGTTAGTTTGAACTATGAAAAGGTGAAGCAAAGGAAGAGGGTAAAAATTATTCTGCCATTTCCAGATAGCACTCAACGTTTTGGCCGTGAACGTCGTCATCGCGTCGGTGGACCCCTGGATCATGATACCGACCCTGGTGATAGCCGCCCTCTTCTACATGTACCGCAACGTTTTCCTCAAATCGAGCAGGAACATCAAACGCATCGAGGCCACCAGTAAGTCTTTTCGTCTCCGATCCCTCACAGTTCGGTGAAATATTTTTCGATAAAAAGCACCATGTTTTGTACACGTAGAGATTGCACCCATCTTCAGTGCTGTGGTTATCTCGCCCTCGAATAGAGGAGGTTAGCCTACTGCCGCGGTATACTGAGAGCAGCTTTTTGGAAAGGTTGGTCGCTAATAACAACGCAGTCTGGGTGATTTTTCCGCTATTTACGCTACTTTCGCGGCGTCACTAATTCTGCAACGGTAGCGATAACACTTAGACGTATCCGAATTCGATGACGACTAAATATAGAACTTTTTCAAATAGTGAGGTTACGATGTAGGTAAAAGTCACTTCTTCGATGGTCACAGTCACACATTAAGGCAACTATATAGCTGGCCGTATGACGTAGGTGGCATTGAAATTCATACACATGAGGGTATAGTATAGGTCTGCAGTTGTTCTTTAGCGTTATTCGAAGACGACGTGTATGTAACGGAAATGGAATAATATGCTACATAGTGACCAAAACGAGTATATTTGGATGACTATAAATTCAAAAATTCCGATTTTATTTAAAGTTAACATAAATCGCAAGGTATTAAAAATATGAGTATGACGTACCGATTGAAAGTTTTGGCTTTTTGTAACATCTTTCGAAAAAATATACATACCGGGTGACTCAAGAAAGTGGGAACACTATAACTTTTAAACAGCCTGAGATAGCGATCTGAAATTTGGAAGGATCAATATAGGCTTCCGGTATGAGCGGAAACAACAGTAACTTTCGAATATTAACGGATTTTAACGGATTTTTGAAATGTTGGTGTCCCGGTGACCCGGTAAATAATATTTATTATGATCACAGCTACCTAGACACAGTTTTCAAAAATTAAATAAAAATTTAAAAACACAAAAAAAAGAGAAAAACCATCCTATCCTACGTAGAATGGTCTCCTGAATCCAAAAATGCAAAAAAATATAGGTTGTGCTATTTAAAATTCAAAAGTTATTGTCGTTTCCGCTCAAACCGGAAGTGCAACCATTGACTACATCGTGTAAAAAAAATGGACATTCAAGCTATACTAACCGTTCCAAATTTGAAATCGCTATCTCAAGCAGTTTAAAAGTTATAGAGTGTTCCCACATTTTTGTGTCACCCGGTATGGTATAACGTTTAAGGAAATCGAGATACCTCAATTGAAAATGAACGATAGCATTTATTTCCAATGCCGTTTGCATACATCTTTTACGTCATCTACCAAGTGAGATAATAAGTTTTAATACACTACCGCTACACTTTCGATTCGTCCATATTATTGTTGGGAAGAGAGCAATAGTCAATCAAACAAATAAAAAAAAAGATGGCAGCATACGAAACACGAAATACTGTTCCTTTCAGTATATTACTTTGTCACCATAAAATTCATTCAAAACACATAACCCAACATATAACCTCAAAAACTAGCAAACTAGTAGCGTTTTATCTCTTGACGTTCCTAAATCGCCGACAGTATAAAAAAGTTTATATGCAATGTTAGCCTAAAATTAAAAATAACCGAATTATTATGGATTTGATGGCTATGAACGGTTGCGAAATAAAATTCCATTTTCTTTTTATTGTTCCGTTTGAACGTTAGAAACAATTTACAGAAACATTTCACTCATTTTTTAATAAACCCTACACTCCATTGTTTGTCTGTCGACGATGGGAAAAATACTACTGGTTTGCTAATAAGTCCGGCTTTGCAAAAAGTTATACCCACGACAAAAATATAGTGCAGTTACAACCGACTCTGCGATTAACTTTGCGTAGTGCTTATTCTTGAAATTAAATTCTTGAAACACATACATAAAAAAATAGTACAAGGTACATAGTATCAATATTAATTAATAATGATAAAGTATAGTCACTATCGCTACTGTCTTCATCTAGTTCAATGATCAACTCCGTCACTAATCGTTTTCGATAAATATTTTCTTCTTTTATTACTCTTAAGAACAATACATATGACCCGATGTTAGAATAGACGCTTCTACTTATTCGAAAATACACCGCAGTATCAATGTTTAATCAAATTTACGTTTCAAATAAAAATTTCAAGTCTATACAGATATTTATTACGGTCTATCTAAGGCAAGGCCTACTTAATGCAGAATAAACATCTCTTGGGATGGGTTTTACATACTTAACACGTCAAAGCAATAAATGCACTATATTTTTGGTCGTATTACACCAATGATGACACTTAATTTAGATGAGTTTGTAGAGGTCGCAACCCACCCCACACAAAAACCAGATTACGTTGCCATTCATTACGTCTTAAGTTTTACCGTTACCGTTGAGCGTTATTGACGCAAGCGCTCACTGCCCACGCACAACGCGTTGCTCACGCTAACTCTGACGCTTACAACGATCATCCACTCGGTTATTTTCCCCCTTTTATCGATTATTTCGTGGCGTACAGCGAGAAGTCCGGTTTATTCGCACCTCAACTCGTCGCTGCGCGGTCTGACCACCATTAGGGCGTTCGAGGCGCAGGAAATGCTGCGCAACGAGTTCGATGCGTTCCAAGACGTCCACAGTTCCGCTTTTTACATGTTCCTCTGCTGCAATCACACTTTCGGGTTCTGGCTCGACTTCCACTGCATCATCTACACCGCGCTGGTCACGCTCAGCTTCTTTTTCATCGAAAACGGTGAGTACAGGATGATTGTTTCGAACCCCGAGGATACCGAAGACGAGGAAGGGTTTTGAGGCATTATCTGCAAAATCTTCGACTCGTCGACGGGACGTCCCAAATATTCCTGTCATGTCGGTGGCCTAACGAATGAGATTCCCACGCCCTCCTTTTCCATTATCCGACTCGTTAGCACTAAGGAAATTTTACCGATTTTAATGTTTTCAAGAGACGTACGGTGGTAACGTAGGATTAGCGATTACCCAAGCGATGAGCCTAACTGGTATGTTCCAGTGGGGTATGAGACAATGGAGCGAATTGGAGAATAACATGACCTCCGTGGAAAGGGTGGTCGAGTACGCTGAAGACGTGGACCAGGAGGCGGGCACCGATGAGAAGGAACCGCCTAAAACCTGGCCGGAACGCGGCTCGGTCGAGTTCAGATCAGTTTATTTAAGGTGAGCCGTCGAGTTTTCAAGTCGCGTGAAATATTCCCCGACCTGTGATTTCAGGTACGCCAAAAACGAACCCTACGTGCTGAACAATCTGTCGTTCAAGATCAAGCCGAGGGAGAAGGTGGGCATAGTGGGGCGTACCGGGGCGGGTAAGTCGTCGATCACCGCCGCCCTGTTCAGGCTTGCCGATGTCGAGGGCAAAATCATCATAGACGGCATCTGCACGCAGGACATCCCTCTCAAGTGCATGCGGTCGAAAATTTCGATCATACCCCAGGAGCCGGTCATATTCTCGGGTAAGACGCAGCTGCCCCGTTCGTTCGCTCACGTTAGAAAGATTTCGAACTTTGTCGAAAAATTTTCTTTCGTGACCCTGTACGTTTTCCGAAAAATCAATTTTTTTTTAATCGCACAAACGGTTTTCGAGAGAACTGCATTTTTTTGAACCCGTAATAAAAATGAAAAAAAAAATGTTTTCTACTCCCGTCTGTAAAATACCTAATTACACACCGATCTAGCGTGCAGGAAGGCGCGAATCCTAGCCACTTCGGACATTTCCGTCATTTTACGGCACGGGTTTGGGAACAATCGGATGTTTCCGGAGATTTCCCACACTTTGAATTTTGACCTATGTCAATTTTAACAGTCACGTCAGTGAATATATTCGTGTTGTTTTCCGAAAATGTTGGACAGCAGTTGTTGCATAATATACTTTTTTCTACTCCCGTGTGTAATAGAATATTGTGCAACAAGTGCGTTAAACGGCATTTGACTCACGAGTTTATTTGACACGAGCGGTGCGGGGTCATTTTTGATACGTCGCCGCGCCCCGCGAGGCTTTCGACCGCCCACCTCTGTCCGTTCGGAAGTTACAGCGTATCTAACGAAACACATCCACCACAGGCACCATAAGGTCCAACATGGACCCGCTCGGGCAATACGACGACAACGCCATCTGGAACGCGCTGGCTGAAGTCGAACTCAAAGACTTCGTATCCGATTTGAAGTCGGGGCTGGATACCAAAACGCTGGAGGGCGGGGCCAACTTCAGCGTAGGTCAGAGACAGCTGATGTGCCTGGCGAGGGCGATACTCAGGAACAACAAGATACTGGTCATGGACGAGGCCACCGCCAACGTGGACCCCAAGACCGACGCGTTGATACAGAACACGATCCGGAGGAGGTTCGAGGATTGCACCGTATTCACCATCGCTCACAGGTTAGGTCAAAAAATTTATAAAATAGTTTTATATGTTTTTCGCCAATCATCCTGTTGGCTTCTTCAGAGCTTGACTGAAACTGGCTCGCATTTTACTCGGTACCTGCTAATATATTGTTTGAGGGGGGGGCGCGCTAATGATGGGTATAAACATTGTCTCGGATGACCGATTCATAAATTGGTGACAGGTAGAGACCTGAGTCGCGGTTAAGATTGTTGTTAAACTCGATACAACCTAACATACGTTTTATCATTGAGTTGGAAGCTACTAATAACCTGCCATTCTTAGATATTCTTATCAATAAAAATCAGACCTAACATTGGGTCATTGTGTTTAGAGAAAACCTACGCACACAGGTACATGGTCATATCACCATCCGGCCCAAAAATCATCGGTTATCAACTCTCTTGTTAACTTCCACATTAAAGATATTAAGCGTTCCATCACAACATCAGCACAACCTTCCAATAGCAATGAGGCCGAAAGCAATCCTACACTTGCCACTGTGGTCCTTCCTTACATTCAAAACATCACTGATCAAAGAAGTATAACGCCAAAACCAGATGTACCACTTGTCCAAAAATCTCTCAACATCTTCGATCCGTCAAAGACAAAATTCCATGTTTGTTTGTTTAGCTCCGCCCCCCCAAACAATATAAAAGCACGTACGGAGTAAAATGCGAGCCAGTTTCAGTCAAACTCTGAAGAAGCCAACACGATGACCGGCGAAACGTTAGCAATTTCGACTCAACAAAAACTGACGCAGGAGGAATCCAGAAGTTTTATAAAAAATATTACAGTAGGCTGTGGCAGTTTCTTTGAAAAATGTATATGATTTATTTTTATTTTCGCAGACTAAACACCGTGATGGACTCCGACAAGGTCCTGGTCATGGACGCCGGTGAAGCTGTCGAGTTTAACCACCCCCACGTTCTGCTGCAGAACCCCGAAGGTTATTTTTCCGGATTGGTGAGGGAGACGGGAAAGTCCACCGCCGATCACTTGGCGGAGATCGCGAGCAAGGTGAGATTTACAATAAAATATTTTTCAGTTTTAATTTAAATAATTCTCTAATCAAAATACGCTCCAGACGTCACTGCGTTACAAGCCATTTTGACGGCTGTTACGAATTGTCGCTAATAATGGCATTTTCCTTTGCAGAACTTCCTCAGATCTTCGCAGCCGACGTAGATGGTGCTCCGTGTTTTTTTTTATCGTTAACTGTTATTGTTATTTTTTATTTATTTATTGTATCGTATTTTTATATTTTTATAAGAACTCGTTTTTTTCTTGTAACAGCATAGGTATGTATAAAAGTACTTAATTATATTTTTTTATAAAAAAAAGATCGTTTCATTGTTAATTCTTAAAAGAAACTTCCGAGTTCGAGTCAACAAAAACCAACGCAGGAGGAATCCAGAAGTTTTATAAACAGTGTTTCATTGATATTTTCGAAAATCGATGAAATCGAATTTTTCGAAAGTATCTACGCTCGTATTCAAATTTAATATCTCGGTAACGGTAGGTCCTATGGAACCACCAGAAACGATCAGCATCGAAAAAAAATTTTTTTTTGTTATGTCCGTTCTCCTTTCTCCGTCCTCGTCAGTTGATTTTTCCTGAATAACTTTCGAACCGTTGGAGCTACAAAATTAAAATTTGCCTCCTCTTTAACCTTCCATCAGACACACAAGCTTATAACAAATGGCCTCGATCCGCTATGAAACACGATAAGGGTCCGAAATTTAAAGCAATCGACTTCATATATCGCACATATATGCAACTTTGCCCCGTGACGGAACCTATTGAAATTGGAAGTATTCTAAAAAAATAAAAAATCGCGTGTGCAAGGGTCGTTAAAAAACATCACTTTTCAAAACCCGTTTACGAGACCAAAAAAATTCCTGCACCAGGAAACGCAGAAGATACGGCTCCATAAACTTTTATTCTTGACAATTTTTCAAAAATTTACAGGGTGCGCTGCAAATTTCAAAAAACTGAAAAATGGCTACCCCTTTTATTGAAAATCAGTTATAACTGAAAGACTATGATCCAGATGTCACTTTCTTTTACATTGCGATATAGCCTGCACCTATTGTATAGAGTGTTCCTTATATTCCGTGCTAAATAAGAAAACAGTAGAAATTGGGTGCAATCAAATTTTACCAAGTATTTTTTAGAAATTTTTGAATTTTTTTTTTTGGCAATTTTGGCTTCCAGAAAAATGTTTTCCTCCATAATCTTTCACCCGATCGGCAGAACTCTTTAACCAGCAGACGCGGATGATCGAGTGCAATAACATTTATTTCAGGCATTTTTTCGATCGTTATTGCTTGTACATTTTTTTATATTTATCAAAGTTTGTCGTGACTTTGAAATTCGGCAATAAGTAAAAGACTTTTTATACACGGTGTGTACACAATAAAATTACATTGATTTTGCGAAAGTTCCATAGGGATCCGCAGGAGCACGATAAAAAAACAAAGCAAGCGGCTTCCCTTTGAAATATAACCTGCTTCGCGCTACAAACTTGTCTCTTCCAGTGACGATTTTTCGAAAGCAATCTTGTTTTCCCAGTGCTCAATCGGAAGCGTCGCAACTCATGACGCCACTCGATGGGCAATCGCTATAAATCATTAACAAGAGCAGAGTAATGGGTTAAAGTTTTGTATATTTAAAAAAAAAACTGAAATTGGAGATTATCTAATCCATGTCGACGATCTCGCAGCTGTGGAACTTCGAGCTGGACTCGAGCCAGCTTTCCACGTCCGTCGACGTCAGATCGTCGGTAGATGGCAGCTCGGTCAGCGGCTCCATCTCGCTGACGTAACAGTTTTGCGACAGGTTGCCGTTTTCCTTGAACTTGTCGTACATCTTGTGTCGCGGCGCATCGCCCACAAAAGACTCTTCCCCCTGCTTGCACGCACCTGCAGGCGTCATATTTATACCTCTTCCGCGTTTTTTACTTTTCGTTAGGCCGGCCGCATGCGCTAAGGCCACTCGCCCATTTTATAAAATCAATACTTTTTTAACGAAACCCCGGGAATATCGACACCGACCAACGTATCCTACATACCTACGCCGCCGTTGGTTTTCTTGGTCCTAATCGGACTCTTGTACTCCCCCGCTGACGTCAACGATGACGTAATGCTGGGCAGCCTGATGTCCAGGTGGGAGCCCTTGGCCGTCACGATTTTGTTGTTCATCGCGTACAGCTTGGTGGTGATGTCCCTGGCGATGAGGGTCGTGAGGACCGTTGCTATGTAGGTGTCCTTGACGAAGAGGTACTCCAAGGAGGACCTCTGCCAGTAGAGGTACCGGCACGTGCTGGCCGCCACTATCGACACCTGCAACGGAGCCGTTCTGCTTTGCCGGTTGTTTTTGTCTTTGAAACGACCTTGAACTTGTCGTCGACGGTGTTCCTGCTCGACTCGAACTCCGGAGAGTCCATGAACTCGCACGGGAGGATCGGGTGCAGAAACTGATTGTCGGACAAGACGTTCACCTGCGACGAGTACGATGCGTTCAATTTATCTTAATAACATTTTAAATGGCTGTAACTTTTTTGCTTTTTAGAGATATCAAGGTAAACAATAAAAACAATGCATCTCAAATGAAATTTTGTCTTTGACGGATCGAAGATGTTGAGAAATTTTTGGACAAGTGGTAAATCTGGTTTTGACGATATATTTCTTTAGAACTTTTGATATGTGGTCAGTGAGGTTTTGAATATAAGGAAAGACAACAGTGGCAAGTGTGGATTGCTTTCGGTTTCATCACTATTAGAAGATTGTGGTGAAGTGTAATTTGTGATGAAACGCTTAATATCTCTAATGTGGAAATTATTAGGGGGAAGAGCAGAGGTGAGGTGTTTTAATTCTGGGTTCAATGCCGTGGGGTGAGATAACTTTACGGCTCTGTAAACAAGAGAGTTGATAACCGATGATCCTACGTCACCTATGGAACGCATTCTTAAATCTGTCATTAAGGTTTCTTCGCTATCAGACTCCATGAAAAAATCTGTCCTCTCCCAAAAGTTCACAAACCAGGATTACCCCTTCGACGTATTGTCAGCACCCTTGGTTCTCCCAACATATTCTCTAGCAAAATATCTAGCTTCCTAATTAAAACCCTGTACAGGGAAAACTGACAGTTTCGTACTTAATTCCTTTCACTTTAGATGACGTAGAATCTTTTTTAAGTTGACGATATGATCAGTCTGTAAGAATATCCTAAATCTTTTCGTGATACTCTATGTGTTCATGATGACCGTATTATTCGATAAAACTAAAATTCTTGCATGTAATCGATTCTTCTAACCAAACTAACCAACGAAAAATCCGAGAGTGTATAGAAATTTATAAGCAACATAACAATCTTAACCGCGACCAGGTCTTTACCTGCCACCAATATGGCCATCCAAGATGGTGATGGTGTTTATGTCCCTCATTTAGGTCAGCCCCCTCAAACAATATAAAAGCAGGTACGGAGTAAAATGCGAGCCAGTTTCAGTCAAACTCTGAAGAAGCCAACAGGATGATTGGCGAAACGTTAGCTAGTTCGACTCAACAAAAACCGACGCACGAGTAAAACAGAAGCCTGTGGAAGTTTCTTTGAAAGATTAAATGGATAATATTTAAATTCTTTCAAATCTGAGTGGATTGATCCCCGAGAAATACCTGTCTCTAAATTATAAAGAGCGTTACATTGTATTCGGTATAACATATTTTATTAAACGCATATATAATATACCTGACGCGTGAGGCTCAAAACAGCAAAATCTAGACTGTGCTGCCACCTCTCGATGAGTGGCGAATAATCTAAATCTGGTTCGACATCCAGGGAATAGGATGAAATGGATTATATGGATTGGCCCTACGTCCTATGTGGTATCTATCGAAATTGAAACTTCACTGACCTTTCCTGACAGCAGCAGTCCGAGCCGGTCAGTTCTGGTCAAATTCTGCACCGCGTATGCTTCGCCCGCGTGCAGTGACATGATCTGCGCGAAATCCGGGCCCACCATCCTTTTGAACTGAAGACGGGCCAGCTTGAAAGGTTCGAACAGCGTGTGGTACACTTCCTCCAATTCGGGATCGAACTTGACCGGTCTGAGCTGGTACAGGATGTGAAAAACCTGCGCCATGTTCATCAGCATGAAGGCGAAGTTCCACGTGAACACGTCCGGGGCGCAGATGATGTTCCACGCCCACGTAGAGAACAGCATCAGGCCTGGAAAAGGGTCAAACAGTCGATCACAGTTATTTTGGAAACGGTAACTCACCCAGTATCAGCCAGCAGTGCATGAACAGGACTCCCTTCTTGGAACACGTCGACGAATACGCCAACACGAAGCACACGTTCGCCAGCTGGAACAGGGTATGCTGGGGGGTCTTCCAGTAGTCGCACCATGGCCACCAAGTGCCTATAAGTTCATTTCGTAAAGTTTATGGGCGCCGATTTGGATCGTGATTGAGCATGCGATCAAAACCTACAGAAAAAATCTTACGCATATGGAATCCGGAACGAAAGCTTTACAATCAAAAAAGCAATTTACTATCTCATCAACTCTGGCTAAAGTCTACCGCAAAATGAATACTTTCAAGTTTAAAATATCCTATGGTTTTAACAGCAACGGCTGTCGGGGAAAACCGTTTGGTTCGACTTCCATTGAATTTCTTCTAAAATTTTATCTCATTGCGGCTGCTGGTTGCTCATGTGTGCCGCCTTTATTGGTGGTCCTGTAACTAATGGTACCCATCGCCTGTTTACCTCAACTGATAGATTACATGACGCCTCATCCCTGGATGGACCTGTACCACAGGATTCGGTGTTCCACGCGTGGTACGCTACTCCAGAGTTTATTGTTTCATCAAACCTTTTTCATCGAGCCTCTGGATAGGGTCTTCTTAAAGCCAATACGAGATAATTCAAGAAAGCAGTTTTTATTGACGGAAGAGGCCTTGGACAGTTCATCAGTTGAAGTAGGCAGACTATGGACACTACGAGCCGCAGGTAACAACGACCAGCCATCACCCATTTTTGGTCGATCTAAGCCAACTGACAGAGACAATTTTTTTGAAATCATTGTCAAAAATTGCTTATTACTTGCAGAACAAAGTAAGAGATATGATTCCCTTCTAATGCAGACTTTGCTTTAAAAACTAAGAGACAAGCGAATATTTTAATTTTAACATCTATGGCGAAGAATCTACCTAAAAAGTGGAAGAAATCAAGTAACAGAAAATACCACCGAATTTCTTGTGGGAATATGTCAAAAATTAAAACCTAGAAGATTAAACCACCGTATTTATTGATGAGATTTCGGTTTTTAGTAAAGGTTAACCTGTGCAAGTGCAAAAAAAGGTAGTGATATGTAAATAAGCTGGAAACCAAATCCGTATACGAAAAGTTTAATAACTTTTAGAGCATATTCCAAGAAAATCAAGGACCACGCAGAGGTGGATTCGAAGGTTAAAAGAAAAGAACATTGACTTTCTACAGAGGGCCATATGGAAAGACTTACTTCATACGATTGCTGGTTTAATACTATTTAAATGGTATGGAATGAGTGTATATATTGATAGTATCAAAGAGCGATTAATGAAGTACCGGAAAAATTATGTCAACAACACAGTAAAGGTAAAGGTAATTCAAGAATCTTGGAAGGAAATGCAACCCACTTATTTACGTCACGGTTTAGGTAAGGGGTCATTACTGATATAAGCGTGACGTCATATAATGAAGGTAATATGCCAACCATAACCGAGATATAATTTCAAATAAAGACAATGGAAGCCCAAACGAATAGTTTGAACAACTCTCTGCCTACGACCTTCAAACAAGCTCTCGAGAACTTACTGCTTAGGTCGCCGGGGGCGTAATATATCTCGTCGCAGCCTAAACGCACACGAATCACGTATTACTAGTTGCATACTCTTAAAATAAGTCCGGGAGACTCGTAGAGTTTAAAGGCACGAGATTAAAACTCACCGGAGGGGATGATATAGCTGACGTTGTCTTTCTCGAGCCACGTGTCGTTCAGTTTCGAGCCGACTATCAGAATTTGCGGCCTATCTTGGTTCGGCTGAAGTCCGGATTCCGGATCGGACGGCATCTTCGCCCGGAGTTGTCGGAATCGAACGACAGTTTGAGGCGGACCCCGGAGCGCAAGCGAATCGTTGGTTGAAACGGCCGATCCTCCCGGAGCAGAGCGCTGCGCTGCCGGCCGGCGTAGTTCGCGCCGCGGCCGCTAGATGGCGCGGGAGATGGCAAAATCTAGTTCCGCGCTTTTAGAAAATAGAAATAATCTATAGCAATAATTCAATGACCGTTCAAATGATTTTTGCTTTATAAAGTTTGCTTTTGCTTTGATAAGTATTCTTTAATTAATTTTGTAAGCCAAAGATGGCAGCACTTTCATTGACCTGAAAATGAACTGCGTTATTTTTTGTAAGTAGCATCAAAGTTAGTAATAACTGGTCTAGATCAGCTGTAGTAACTGTATTTGTGTATTATTCGGTAAGAAAATTGTATCAAGGCAGTGTGAATAAGATGTTGATTAAAGTTAGAAGTAAAAAAAAAATGTTTTGCGAACAAATTGGAAATTGAAAAAATACCTTAGTTAATCCAAGTAAGCGTCTATCTGGTGCCGAATTTTTTTTTCATCGTGATATTCCTTCAACTTCAACTACGATAGCATATGTGACAATTGTTTGAGATAATTGGAATACCCTTCGTAGCACCTGACTGGCGGCTTTTGGAAATTACTTTTTCCTGCCAGAAAGGCTAAAAAGATTTTGCTAGAAGAAGTACAAGCAAGCTAGGCGATTATATCAAGAGCTATTTCTTAAGAGCGTCGTCATTTAAAAGTCCCACGGACCGGACTGTAAGAACTCCAGAAACTGAAGTGGCAGTTTTAAATTCTATTGGTAAAAATCCTGAACTTAGTACTAGAAAAATTGGAAGAGCAATAATTCTATCAACAAATCAAGCTAACTTTTCCAAGGATGCAATCAGAAATTTCCACAACAATCCAGGCAGTTGTAGAATTTAATTTCTTATGTGGGCGTGTTAAACACTTAGTTAACACTGTAGAAGAGCTTAAGGATGGTATAACGGCTTCTTGCGATTTAATAAGAAACACTGCAGGTATACTTCAATGAGTGCAGATCACTTTCATCAACTTCTCTAGTTTCTGTGTTCTACTTTTTTCAAACAGATTGTTATTAATTTATTAACATACAATTTTGTTAAATATTATTGTTATTAGGTATTGTTTTTGGTGGCAACTAGAAACTAGATCGATATTTCATTTTTCACAAAAAAAAGTTTTGCGATTTAGCCAGTACCGTGCCGAACCAATAAACCAAAACATTATTTGTTCATAGAGTGGCACGCCGCTGATTTCCTAAAAAAATAGTGACATTTGCGTTAATTTATGCAGAACACCCTATATACTAGTCGCACATACTTATACTCACACTGTTGCTTAGTAAGATGGGGATTCACCACCTAACCAACTTGCTAATAGAAAATGTATGACATTGTTAGTATAGAAAACTATTTTTCAAGCCTTCTCCTTAAATCCAGTAAAAAAAAATAACAAATTGATGCTAGGTGTCAAAACGCTGACCTTAGTAATATACTCTACCCCGTAGAGTAAATTACCGGGTTTTATCAGCTTAATCAGCTCAATGGAAATACTTCCCAGCAGCTTTTTTACTTTCCTTATCCCGTTCGCACTTGTTTCATTCACCTCTACGTTGTCGCATTGTCATTAAAATTTGGCGCTTCTACTTTATATTCATTATTAATACCCTTAATGGCATCGAAGTAATGCAGCGTCGCCCGATTGATAACGATCAATGGCGAACCCTGGGGTCCACATTTACCAAACGAGACCTAAATCCGCAATAATCCACCCCCGTGTTGGACGGGTGAGGGTGGCGGAAAGCATCGACGGGATGTACAATAAATAAAACCAAATTAGGTAATAGATTTTTGGGTAAATAGACCAAACTCGGCGGGCCTTTTGTCACGGGATTTACGTCAAATTTGTCAGCGCGCCCAGTTTGGCAACGTTTTCTTTTTCTGGTTCAACCCAACATAGCTAGTAAAACCAGACCGCATTGGCAACATCAATGGGATTCTTTTTGAGTGCACCCCGTAAACGAAAGATACTAAGAACCTAGCTACAAGAGAAGACCAACTTCAAGGTCAGACAAAACGATTGAAAGATGAACGTATAGTGTGTTTCAAAAGTTTTGGTTGGTTTATATAAAAATACACAAAGAAAACACAATGACATTAAAGACATACAATAAATTCATAGCTAGGAATATCTATTCAGAATTTCATTATAATTCTAAACGTTTGAAGCTAATTCTGTTCCACTATCTATCACTATTTATGGTGTTTCGTATAGAAACGTAAGTCCTCACTTTCAAATATTCTTGGATTTCAGTTTTTGAATATTCATTGCAGTTTGGGACGAATCCGTCATCTGAGACAGCGTGTATTATGGTGATGCGTTTTCCTTTATTTGAAAGTGCTTTCGTGTGATAGTTTTGAGTGGAATCAATGCATCCTTTGAATACAGTGTCGTGTGTATCTAACCATATTTCATCAAGGTAAATTATGGATCTGGTGTCTAATCTATATCTTCTAATTTCAACGGAATAAACTGGTATTTTACACGCAGCCTTGAATTAGTAAATGTCATAGTAACAAACTAAAACTGTTTCAGAAATCTGTCACCAGAGGGCACTTATCTAGAACATTTTTTTATTTTGCCTGTATTTGATTTATTTAGACTGACATTGCAAATTGCCTTAAGCAGAATCACAAATCCCTAAAAATTGTTACTCTTGTTTTAAGTAGATAAGTGTAATCGTTTGACCATAAATCGACTTTATATTCCCTTCTCGAATTTTACCTGTAAATGTGATTTTACCTAATAGGACGTAATGAAATTTGAAAAAAAAGTCAATGTCAGAATCCGTTATCCAACTGCTACTGCGATGGTCCATCAGGAATATTCCGCCATACCGTCATTTGCATTTTTGCGACGGAAGAGCAAGCACGACGGCTTTTCATGTTCAATGAGTTCAAGCACTATATGGCATTGTAAATTGCGGAAATATGCATCAGTGGAACATTGAATAGCCATGCAAAAATTGAAGGACAACACTAATGCAGGTTTTCTTTAAATGTATGGGCAGAGATTATAGGAGATAATCTTATAAGACCTCACTTCCTTAACCGATCGCTTAATGGCGAAATGTATTTGCAATTTCTCCAAGAGGAACCACCACCCTTGCAGTGGAGACAAAACATGTGGTTAATTCAAGATGGCACTCTACCCCATTTTACATTGGCGAAGGTATTTAAATCAGGCATTTAAACATCGATGGATAGGTCGGGCTAACCTCTAGCGTGACCGCCTCGCTCACCAGACCTCCATCCGATGGACTTCTTAAAGTCTTTAGTGTATGAAACACCTATAACAGATGGTGTTGGGAAAAAAAAACGAATTTCCAAAGTTTCCGAACTCAATTTCCGAACACCCTGTATATGAATATTCCGAGAAACTTTACATCGTGTACCGATCGCAAATCTTCAGTATTCATGTGGAGCGAAAGGTCTCTCCATGGCCTTGCACCTTGATGGCTGCCTTTTATATTTCGGGATTATCATAAACTAGCCCTGCCATCTGGCGGTTAACGGTTTTATAGGAAAGTGTGACATTTTGGGGTTAGGTTTACTCAGTTTGGTTTTGGCGAAAGAGTATTGTTTGTATTTTTTGCGATATATTAAAAAAAATAATTTTAGACGTGGACAAACTCAACAACAATGCATCGATGAACTTAATTCGACTTTTGGAGCTAAAGCACCATCTAGGACTACTGTTTATCGCTGGTTTTCGGACTTCAGTTGTGGTCGTAGTTTTCTTAAGGATGCATTTCGTGAAGGTTGTCCAAAATCGGTGGTTGTCCAAGAAAACAAAGTTGTTAGTACGCGAAGCACCTAGAAACAAATGGTAGCCTGTTTTTTAGAAAAACTGACCACGTGGCAATTGTTTCTTTGGAGAATCGTAAAACAGTCCATTCTGAATAATGCACAACCATTTGCGTGCTGAAAGTCTTCGAAGTAATTATAAAAACCAACCTCCGAAGACGAATCACTCTCCACGGCGACAATGCTAGCTCTCATCGGCGGCCAAAGAACTTTTTGAGCATTTAAAACGGTGATTTGATGAACCGTCCACCATATAGTCCTGATTTAGTACATAATGACTTCTTTTAAAAAGCATGTTTTGAAGGTGTCGGGCTCAATGTGGGAAAAGTGTTTCTATGATCGGTTTTATCGAATGCAAAAGTGAGGGTGAATATTTTGAGAAACAATAATTTTTTCTGTATCACTCTTCATCGGGTCATCAGCTTTTGATTGCAAGCAAGGAGATTTTGGTTCCCGAGTAACCCGATATTTTCGATCGGGATCGGGAAAAGATTTCGGGACAGATGGGCAGAAAATCGAGAGCAGTGGATATTTAATTATTCAGGGGGAGAGAATAATTGCCGTCGGCGGGTGGTGGGGGAGCTGCATTGTGTGTCGAGTCGACCCAAAGTCGCCCTAAAGACCCGGTCGGTAAGAGTGCTCGCTTTTAAGCCCACACGGGGGTGAAAACGAATCGGCACCGAAAGCGAATTTCATGCAGATCAAACATATACTTGACTGCGACCGGCCATGAATAAGCAATTACAACTATTTTATTTGGGAGTAATTAATGGACCTGTTGATAAGGGAGGCGCGTAAGAAAATCTTTGTCACGAGTACGAAATTAGCGGGAAAAGTTTAGATGATTATAAGTCACGAAAGAAGACAAGATTGCTTTCGAAAAATCGTCACTGGGCGGGGCAAGATTTTTTATTTCAAAAGGAAGCCGCTTCGGGGTTTTTACGGAAGTTACGGAAAACTTCGGTAAATTGTACTGTTAATTGCGATTTGTAAACATATTAGTTTCCGACACTGTTGAAATCAAATTATCCTTTAGAAGTTTACAAATTTTTAGTATCTTTTTAATTTTTTGCGCTTAAACGACAGACCGTGTATATAATTCCCCACGTTTCCTGGTATAATAACTTTTCCATTGGGGTCAATAGTTTTCGAGA